AAAAAAATATTTGTGGGTAAGATTAAATAAATAAAATCAGTTAAAAACAAATAATCGGCTGCTTCTTTTTTATTTTTTGATGCAAATGCCAAGGCAAATTTAATTTAGTTTCTCATCTTTTGGAAAGGTTTCCTTAAAATAAGGGGCAGCCGAAACCAATTTGAATACATAAAAAAAAGTCATGGGATTGGATAAAAGATGATAATGATATTATTTTAATTTTATTCTTGCTTTGTTTTAAAAAAAAATATTTGTGGTTAGGATTAAATAAATAAAATTGATTAGTTAACTATCATTTACTTATAAATTTTTAAGATTCTGTTTATGTTGTTTCGATTAATAATTTTTAAAATAATATTTCAGCTTGGATTGATTAAGATTTGGATAAACATTTGTTAGTACTAGACTCATTTAAATTAAACCGATTTGTTGGTGAATATTAAATGAGCTTACTTGTAAATAATTAATGAATATATTTGTAAATGATTAGAGAATCTAAATCAGTCCATAATCAAATGAATTTAGACACATATACAAAATTGATTTCAGTTTCTTCCAACAGTCGTTATTCAGAACATATTAAAAGTTACTCAAATTAATTTTGTTTCTTCCACAAATTGCCATGTTTACAGGAAAAAAAAAGGAAAGAAATTTAAAAGGAACAAAAAAATATTGAGAACAACATCTGTAACAAGAAATTTTGCACAAGAATAAAAAGTTCATTACTAAAATTCAGAATATATATCTATTCAAAAAAATTAATATATATATATATATATTCTAATGACGTCACTTTGGATTATAGTCACATTTCTGAGGAGGCCATTATAATATAAAGTCCACGACATTATTGCCAGTGAAAGGATAAGTGTTGGATATACAGTATCAATGTTTTCAGTTTTAATATATAGTATAATAATATAATAATTAAATAGGTTTGCATTATTAAAGACAATTTGCATATATGTTATAACTATTATATGACATAATTGAGTAATCCAAACAAACTCAAACACTTACAACTTTGTTTACTTCGGTACTAATTGACCCAACATTGCATAATTATCCTTAGAATATTGTCTTTACAAACCAATACTTGACCTATCATTAATCGGTGAATTTCATTCTTAATTCTATCTAAATCATAATATTTAGAAAGTCTTTGAAATATTGTTTAAGATAATTTAAATATGTTTTTATTTTTTATTAAATTTAATTAAATTATTATATTTTTATTTTGAACTAAATATACTCTTATGATATTGATTAATTATCGTTTGTCAAAATATCACTTCTCAAAATTAATTTTGAAAACTTGTATTTATCATTAAATATAATGAAGGTTGATGAGAGAATTTTATTGTATGCATTTATCATAGAACTCTTTTCATAAGGAGATTTTTTTTTTATTTTGGGTTGCTTAAATAAAATGAAAAATTAATTTGGTTACAATTCTTACCATTTATTTTTCATTGGTTGATCCTCCAAAATTCTTGATTTTTTTTTTCATTGAAGGACAAAAACAAATAATTTTTGTTTATTATTTAAGTAGGAGTTTTTACATTTTATGAACAGGACAAAAAAAAAGGGTTTTAAGACAGGTTCGGCCTTAGCCTCGGAAAGCCGTTAAGTTTGATTGTCCGAACCCTCTTGCAATTTACTATTTTACCCTTTATATTTTCTTTCCCTCTTTCCCTCCCATATTTCAATTGAGAGAGCCAAAGAGAGAGAGAGAGTAGGGTTTCAGCTCAGTCTTCGAAACGGAAAAGCATACGATCCTCAACACAGAAATCGGTGTCGTTTCAGGTACTTCGATTCTTTGAATGCCTATCCATTTCTTCAATTTTTTTCCAGAATTTTTTTTTGATTTTCTTTTTTCACTTTTAATAAAATTTTAGTCAAATATTTACAAGCATGATTTCTTCCTCTTCGAAACGTAATTTCACCGATTCTTTGGAATAATTTTCTTGTTCTTTTCGTTAATTGATCCAATTTTAAATCTTAGAAGTTTCAGATTGGGAATCGCATGTTTCCGCGAATTAGATTGGGGAACGATCCCTAATTTTGGAATGTAATTTTATCTGCATAACAATTAATTAAAAAACTGGTTATAAAACTGATTCGGTTTTTTTATTTGTAAAATACATTTTAGTATTAGCTTTTATAAATTGGTTGTGAGATTATTTAATTGGTTTATTTCGATGCTGGAGAAATGCTGTAAGGGTGAAATTCATTTTTCTGTTAATGGAGCTGATTAGTTGGACTTCTGTGACTTTGAGTAGAGGTTAAGAAGAGCTTTTTTTTTTTTTTGGATTTGGAAAGCCAATGGAGGATTGGGGTTTTGGACAGGTTTATGTATGTTGAATTTTGACTTAAAAAATATGTTTGGATTACAGGTAAAGAACTGAGAGGGGAGGATATGGAAAACCAATCTTCGATTGGTAATGCACCAAGGAAAGGGCTTAGTGACATAACCAACTTGCAGCAGCAACCCATAGTGGTGAGCCAAGGTGCGAAGCTGCTGCTGCAACCTGCTTCACTCAGGAGTAAAGATTACATCGGCAACCTCCAAAAGGTATACTTTAAACTACAATTAACTCACTTTTCTTTCTTTTGGTTTTCCCCCTTTGATTCTTTTTGTATCTGTTTAGCTTACTGGGGGTTTTGTTGAATCTGTTGTCCAGGAAAATATGATGCTGATGAAAGTTCTTGCAGATCGAAAGTATTTTCTATGATCAATTTAATTCAGTTTCTTTCACTCACTCCCTCTAACCTTTGGTTGCTGTTATTTGTGTTGGGCATGACTTTCTTATATATGGTTTCTTTTTTTAAAAAAAATTTGGCTGACAGTCAAGTCATAGAATTGAGTGGAATTGAGTTACAGAAACTGAGAACCAATTTGGAGAAGTTTCAGCAACAGAACTTGCTGCTTGCCCAAGCAAACAGCCAGATGTTAGCGGTACCTTAGTACTTTTTTTGATTGTTTGTTTCTCAGTTTAGTAACTCTAGGGGCATATTATATGATATTATGACCCTCTGGCAAGGTTTATGTCTTACTTTGGTTTTGCAGGAACTTAATTCAGGCAAAGATAGGGTATGTTTCCTGGACATCTAAGTTTCTTGAACTTGGTCTTGCTTGGTCCTTTTTGTTTTGTTCTATATTCTAGGGACTTGACCTTTGTGTTGTTTTTGTTTTCAGCTAAAAGCCCTTAAGCATGAGCTGGGATGTAAAAATGCTGTGCTTAAAGCAATTAAAACAGAGGTATTTTTTGTAATATTCTACTCATTTGATTGCATGACACTTATTAGATTCTTTGCTGATTATTAAATTCTCTGCTTGTCACCAGGAGAAAGCTCAAAATAAGGCTTGCCTGACATCCGAAAATGAGGTATTAAAGAGAATAACCTCCACCATTTGGATTGATTTTTGTTTTAAACATCCCATGTTATCTACACTTTTTCTTTTCCATGGTTTGAAGGTGAGAACAAACAAGTGTGATGAGGAAGGTGAATCCCATAAAGTAGAAGATGGAGAGGATGAAACTTGTAATATGAACAGGTGTAACAAGGCAGGTGAATCCCTTATAGAAGAAGATGGAGAGAATAAACCTTGTAATAGGAACAGGAGGCGGCAATCAAAAAGTCTATGTAACTTGCTTGACAGGAACTTCATTTGAAAATTATTAATGTTGTTTTTTATACCATTTTCACTTATTGTTTGCATGCTCCTTCAGGTCCTAATATTAAACCAGTCCAAGCCAAGGAGCCGGTCGACAACAAAAGGTTTTTGTACAATTTTTTAATGCTTTGTGCAAATTAATTTTTCTAATAACAGTGTGCAATATTTAGGTTTTTGTAGAAACTTCATGATTACATAGGAAATTCCTGGTTTCTTTTATGTTTTTCTAGCAGGGTTTGTTTAAGAAGGCAATCTACTAGGTTTAAAGCCCAAAAACCAGAACTGACTGAAGATGCGTTTGTAGATGATACAAAATTTCTTGTTTCTTCTTCCTGTGATGATAAGGTGCATGAGAGTGGCCTTTCTGATTCATCAGTCAAAAAAGAACATGAAGAAGGAAGTACTAACAACAAAAGGTTTTTGTACAATTTTTTATTGCTATGTGCAAATTGTGTTTCCAATAACAGTGAAATCTTTAGATTTTTATAGAAACTTCACAGTGACAAAGGAAATTTGTGTTTTTTTTTTTTTTTTGCAGGGTTTGTTTGAGAAGGCAATCTGCTAGGTTTAAAACCCAAGAACCGGAACTGACTGAAGATGTGTTTGATGTAGATGATACAGCATTTCTCATTTCTTCCTGCGATGATAAGGTGGATGAGAGTGGCCCAACATCTTCTCATTCATTAGTCAAAAAAGAACATGAAGAAGGAAGTATCACCCCTAGAAATGAAGCTCAAGAACTTAGGAGAATATCTGTGGGAAGGCCTTTGCGCCGAGCTGTTGAGAAGGTCCAATCCTACAAGGAAATTCCAGTTAATGTGAAGATGCGCAGGATAGAGTGAGTTCATTTTCTTTGCTTCTACCATGCATTTTGTTTAGGGTGTACTTAAACTAGGTTGAGATGCATCGACTATCCTTGTACCACTATACTGTTGTTTCTGTATAATCTGTTCATACAAAACTGCTCCTTTTTCTGTTTGGTGCCTACATGCTTCTAACTTGCTTTTTTCTAAGCCAATGCATCATATGTGGATGATAATTGGAAACTCCTGAAATTGACTTCCAATTAGTTAACCGGGTTGTAATTGAATGGCCTTCCCAATTTTTAATATATCTTTGCAGTTTAAATGGGCTACCTTTTTTTTTCTTCTCGAAAGTAAGTTCTTGTGATAGTCAAATATAGAAAATTGTGTGGGAGTCTTGAAAGAGAATTAGGCTAAAAAATTTCAATTGACTTTGTATAAATTCTCAGTCTTATGATTCTGTTTTATGGGTCGAGATCACCTTCAGTTACTTTTTTTCTATCACTTTCCTATACACCGTTGATCACCATTCATGTATGTGAGACTCAATTGTGAATTCCACACATATAATTCCCAATTTACTTATCTTCCCGAATGTGAATTCCACACATATGAATGGTGATTAAAAGAATATTGGAAAGTAATGAACAAAAAAGTAATTGAGGAGAGTCATACCCCATACTTTACAGGGTGTTGGACTTTGATATGTGGTATTTTCTTCAGTAATTTGTTATGGGCCAAGCTTTAAGTTATTTTGGAATTATGGACAGATTGATAACAGAGAAGATTGAAAGTATGAATTTTTTGAGCATGATATAGAGGTTTAATTACTAAGGCAGGTTGTAATGAAATAGGCTGGTCTTATATCTAGTAGTCTGGCTAGTGGCTAATATTCTTTCTTGTTTTTTGGGTCGGATCGACCTGGATTCTACCCAAATTCAAGTAATTAAGCCAAAGGGAAAAAAATTAATTAAGGAAATATAAGGACAAAAACCACATAATTTTAAATTCAGTATTGCATGTTAACCACAAGATGTAGACCATTGAAGGTTGATTTTGTTACATGCAAGATATTCGTGTAATGTAATGTATGCTTCACATGCACCAGAAACGTACATAAACAGATCACATGTGAGGTTGATATGGTGGATTTAATTGCATGTTTTGGGCTCTTGTTTGTAGTAGTTTAAGCTTAAAACAGATTCAGATATAAGATTACATGACAAGATATGAGCATTTGACAAATTGGGATATTCCAATATCATTGATCCGACAATTAAATTTTGGCATTCGAACCTGTGATAAGATCTTTTTTGTTCTTTGGGTTTTTCTTTAATTTTTTGTTTGTATTCTCCCATATCTACCGATACCCAATCACCTTGTTTCCATTCCCAAACATGGGAGAAGAAAAACTTTTCTTAAAAAGAAAAAAAGACATGTGGGTCCATTGCCCATCAAACTCTCACATGCATCGAGGAAAGGCATGCCAATGGCTTCTTTTACGTCCTTTTCATTGCTTTGCAGCCCCGAAACCGCGTCGCTGCACAATTTAGAAATCATCTACCACTTTAAATCACATATTTAGAAATAATCCTATCTCATCTCATAAATTTCGGGTAAAGTTCACTTCAAAAAACACACTTTGGCCCATTTTTACTTTAAAATGATATTTTTAATCTCTTAACTGTTAACCCCTTTAATTAATAATTAAAAAATATACTAAATATTACAATAAGGATGCACTTTTTAAAAAAAATCCTGATCCTCTTTTTTTTTTTATAAATTTAATAACATTCACTTTAATACTTATAAAACTCAAAATGTGATAGAGAATAAAAAAACTTAAAATTTAATAGAATTTTAGAATGGATTTGTGGGTGCTTTGTATTACTTTACTACTTAATAAAATTCAATATTTTATAAAAAAAAATAAAACTTTTGATTTATAGTAATCAAGTCAAAATTTTTCAACAAAATTAATAATTATAAGTAAGATTTTGACTGAACAGTTTTTGATTCCGTAACTGTTAACAGTGTTAGTCAATATAAATAAATCTACTTATTGAAGTTGATAAATGCTTTTCGTAATCCTCATAGACTACTGATGTAATATATTAATTATAAATAAATTTACTTATTTAAGTAGATAAGAATGGCTAATTTTTCTCATTAGTTGCTGGTAAAATGATAGTCGACTTGTTTCAACATTTCAATTTCACTTAACTAACTTGAGACTGGAGTTGAAGAGTGAAGACAATGGGTCATGTTAAATGAAAAGGCCATCAGTGGAAAAGGATAGGGATTGAATCTAAGAGCCATGTGTCTTGTTTCAACATCGTTTAGAACTTAACCCAAATCATTCAACTCCAAATTTTGTAATTTATGGTATTTAGCTGCCTTAATACTGTTTTTTCTTTGAATTTAATTCAATCATTATGACAAATAGGTTTTGTCAGTAGTGAGTTACAGTAGTATTGAATCTAAGAAGCAAGAGATGGTTACAATAATCAAAATTTAACTCCTTAAAAGACAACTTGACATTGAAGGGATGATTCAAGCTTATTTTATTAATTTATTTATTAGATTGAAATATGTGCCTCCTCAATGTATCAAAAGAAAGGGAAAAGAGATTATGTTATCGTATAATTAATTTGTTATTAATTTTAGAGAAAGAGATGGAGATAGATTATATATTGATCAGAGATCTAAAAAAAAATTTCAAATTATGGTTGATCTTTATATTTTGTCAAAATAGTGAATTTAATATTTGTATAATAATTTACAAAAATTTAATTTTTATATTTTTTTTAAAATTGATAATATTAATTCAATTATTAATAATGTTAAAATTTTTTAGATATTTATGTTAATATGATGTGACTCAACACTGATATAAATTTTATAAACACCAATGTGGAATTATTCAATGTGAGATTGTTATATAAAATTTATTAATGTCAACTATGAAAAGAAGATCTAAACTACTTAAACACAAACTTGTCGAGATGAATTAAAAAATCTAAATAAATTTTATGTTTAGGGCAAGTATGGGTAGTTTAGGCTTTCTTTCTATTTGTTAATAATAAATTCCACATGACAACATTTTATTGGATAATCTCATGTCATTCATAAAATCTATATCAATGTTTGATCATGTCATATTAGTATTATTATTACATCAATAGTAAAATATCACATCATCATTATTATATCATCAAATTTAACATTATATCAACAAAAAAAACACCATTTTAACGCAATAATAAAAAAATTTCAACACTATTAAAACCTTAGACACCCTAGCGTATTAAACACTGTGGATTCGTTGAAAATGATTGAAAATCAGAAATGAGAATGCGAAATTCCTTGGGTTGAAATGTGTCAGATTCTGATTGCACCCCCTCCAAAAAGAAGACATCCCCACAAAAATTCTAGGAGAGATGAAAGTGAACCCAAGGCCACATACATGTGTACATGTGAGCGTGGGATGTGCACCATGATTTCTCATTGTAGCAGAGACCCCACACGTAAAACATGGGACTAAGGTTAGGCCAAAATATGGATTGGTCAAATTGGAAGCCTCTTGTTTTGATCATTTAACTTTTCCCCTTTAAAGGGATATCCTTTGTTGTCCAAAGGGAGGGGATTCATGTGTAGTCTTGAGACCCTACCATTTTGTTCTCTCTTTTTTTCTTTTTTTGAAAATCTTTGGGAGAAAAATTAAAAAAAGAAGAAGATGGCAATGTACTCTTAATTCTAGACATAATTTCAAGGGATAGGAGGGTGTTTCTTCTTATAGTCTTTGACATACAAACAAATGTTGACAAATCAAGGTGAGGTTTCCTTTGTCAAAATTTTATTTTGGAACCATCCTCTTTTTTTATTTATATATTATATTTAAATAATGCTCAAAAAATTTCTACTAGAAAATTTTGCAAATGAGAATGTATTTATGTTGAACACTAAATTTCAAGGGTGGGGAATGCTTGTCCCTAAACATATGTGTGGGCTCGCATGCACATTCATAGTTTGAATTGAGCTATATGCAATTCCTTTGTAATAAAAGGAAAAATAGCATGACTTATTCACACAAACACTCTTATTCTTGAGTTGTATAGTTACATTTTTATACAACTTAAGTCATGGCCTAACAAGTTTTTATTAGTACATATAAATAACGTAAATATCACATTTTTACTTTTTTTTTTTGCATAAAATTTATCAAATTTATATTTATATATGAGTTTTATTGGTTTACTTATATATTTATATTGCAAAAATCGAAACATGTATAAAAGAAAGATTGTTTACTTAAAAAGTTTGATTGTAAAAACCTAAATAGTAAAATTTTTTTGTTTTTCTCTTCTTTCTTGGGACAAAAATGGTAGTACACGAGCATGGCCTCAATGCTATAAGTTAGCAATGATGTCTGTTTATCTCCTCAGACCCAATTAGAAGACATGAAAGATTACAGATAGATAATCATTCTGTTTTGCATTTGATTGCTTCATTTTACTATAATATCTTAAAGTGCAAAAAGGAAGTCTCATTTCTTCACATACTATGTATTAGCAAAACAAATCTTTATATTGCCAAACCTTCTTGTACATATCCTGAAAAGTGTCCATGTCATTGAATAGTTATACTCTAAAGAGTATGTATTACCCCTTTTGAATGTACAAAAACACACACACACACACACAAAAGAAGTATCACTATTCACTACCATATTTTAATTGGGCTAAATATAATCTATATAGATAGAGAAGAGGTTGTAGTAGGGTTGAATAGGTAGCTGTTTTTTTTGCAAATTCCCCTTGTCAAAAAGCAGCATTACATTCCATTGGAGAAGGCTTTATCCTAAACATTTTCCTCTTTGAGAGTCAAAAAAGAAAACCTACCCCTTTTTCTCCTATACCCAAAAAAAAAGGTTTGCTATACATAAGATGGCTTTAATCATCTATCAAAGTAGACTTTGTCTTTCAGCCTAACCAAAGAATTCATAGCACCAGACTAAACATGCCCTTTCTACCCTGCCCAAAAAAAGTCACCAATCATTTCTTTTGTATATGTATAGATTGTAAAATTTTTCTATATATATTGGTACATAAAATTTAAAAATAAATAAATTGCTCCAACATTTTGGTACATTGAGCTGGAATGGTTGACAC